TGACTACTAATGTTCACCTATAAACATTTTTGATGATATTTTTATGATAATGTAATGTGAAAATATTAAAATTATTCCATGGTCATTACGTTATAATTAAAAATTTTAATCATAAATATTACAGGCATAGGAACCATGAAATATATCAGATATTCAACGGTGTGCCATAACATCATGTATTACCATGGCTTTGCTGTGCTAATCCATGATATTCATAGTAGCCTGTGGAATATCTATTATTTATTTAACATTTACTGTTAGTTAATTTATAAATGCTGCATTAAACAACTATATATATTCTATTGTTTAATAATTACTGTTAAATAACTAGTAAACACCATATTAATACACTGTTTAACATACTGTATGGTTTTTTTTAACTATTGTAAATTATTTAAAAAATTTATTAACTTTACAAATTGTTTATTATATAATTTTTTTTGATATAAAAAATAATTTGCAAAATATTATTAAAAACAAAAAAACACCAGAGTTGCAAAGTTTATAGACACAACACCTTACTATAGCTAAAAAATCTCTAATACTTATTTAGAACACTATCTAATATAATGAAATTTAGCAAATAATTTAAATATTGAAAATGCAGAAAGATTTTTAAGTATTAAAAAATTAATGTATTAGCCAATTATTTTTGAACCTCTAATCTGCAAAAAAAACTTCTATCAAAAAACTTATCATATATAATTTGAATAAATATGACAAATGAAAAACCAATGATGATATAGTAAATATATATAAATAGCTTATTAAGTGGTATATAAAAATGTTGTTAAGAAATTTGTTGCAATTCAAAGTTCTTGTATTTTTGGTGCCAAAGTTTTCAACTAAAAATTCTTAGAACCAATTTACAAAGATAATTAGTAAAAAAAACAAATAAAAACAAAAAAAGAAAAAACAAATCCTACTTTCCTAGAATTTAGGCTTCTTTAATAAAAAAACTATTATTAAAATTTCTTGCAGCACAGAAATCATTATAAGCTGGTCTGAAAAAAAAACTTTAATAAAAACTAAACTGCTAGCAAGACATACAACTCACTAACCTGAACAAGTACTAAAGCTTCAATTACACTAAATATAAAAATTATAAAGCAGATTTCACTATTTAAAAAAATTTAGTTTACGAAACTAAAATTACAGATTTTATTAATCACTAATCTTGTATATAATTGGTTAAAATAAATTTCAGCAAATTTTTAGGATTAGTATGGGCCAAAATTATATTAATCCTAGCTGAGTTTTTATCTTAAAAAAACCTGATCAGCATCAACATAATTTTTGTTTGCACTAACTTTAAAATTTTGCTGAAGATTATTTTGACTTGGGTTAAAATAGAATTTTTTTTAAAAAAAATAAATATATCTAATTTGCCTAACAAGTTCTAAAATTTTTGCTTCTATAAAAATATCTATGCTTCTTAATACATTATCACAAAAAAAAATAAAAAAAATAGATATTAATAATATTTAGATACTTACTCAAATTCATTAATAGTATAGCTAATATTCAATAAACTTAAATTAGATTTTTATTATTATTACAGAATATCTTTATTGAATTATAATTAGCAAATAATATTTAATATAAAGTATTTATAAAGTAAAAGCAAAATATAAAAAGAATAAAAAGTAATAAAAATAGATTGTTTAATTTTGTATTATAAATAATCAATAAATATAGTGTTAGACTCTCTAGTATAAAACTAAATAAATTTGTATTAGCATCTATTATTAAAACATATAGATATTAACAAAATATTCATTTTGTTTTTTTGTATATTTTATTATATATCAATTCAATAATAGATTCTACAAAAACAAAATCAAATATGCCTGAAAGTTCTAATAATAAACAATCATATTTGTATAAATAATGGTTGTCCTTAAAACGAAAGTCATACCATTGTACAAGGGCAAGGTCAAATTGCATCAGATAAATTTCAATATTAATAGTAACTAACATATAAACCTAAAATAATATATATAATTTATGTATAAAAAGCTCTATTAGCATTTTATTTATAATGAATTAATAATAAAATAATTTACCTTGCAATAACAATTTCTATTGTCAGTATTGTAATCTCTGCTTTCTTCTGAATTCATATTAATTGACACATCACTAAATATTAGTTTATTATAAAATTTACTGCTTGCTCTGATATAATCTTCATTTTTAACTATATTTGTATAACTATACTATTTAATACTAGTGTTGCTTGTTACTATATCTTCAGTCAAATCTTCAACAAGTCAAAGAATTTATTTAATGATGAAAAAAAGTATTCAAAAAATAATAATACTTCAGAAGCTAAATCTTTTTTTACTTTATAAGAAGCAAAAAAATCGTCAGCTGTTTTTAATATAAATGATCTCAGAAGACTATTTATTGTAATTTTTTTATAATGCTGTTTCACAATCAGTTCAGATTCTTTGCAATTAAATAAATGTTTTATAGTTGAATTACGAGAAACCTATATTAAAATAAAATCAATAAAAAGTATCTATTTAAAAATTAAATTAATACTAATCAAAATTAAAAATTTTAATATATTAAATGGTATAATCCAAATGCTACTTGATATACCATTTAACATTATTATAAAGTTGTTAAATAGCATATTGAGTGGTATTTAGATTCTATTATTCAATAACTGATACTAACCACTTTAATTATTTATCTAGTTGCATCACATTTGTTTCTAGCTCTATAAGGTTTTTTCATATAGTCTTTATGCAGAGTTTTATAAATTTCTGCTATAAACTTGTTAATTATACCATATTCTTTTATTGTTGCAATTATATGATAGTACTAATTATATAACTTAGGTAGTTTAAGTTGTGAAGGTGAATACTTTGGAAAAAGTTTTAAAAACTTTGTCTAAATTGTAATCAGATTCTAAAAATAGATTAAATTATTTAATATATATAAATAATCATATATTTACTATAAATAATTATATATTTATTAATTAATATATATATTAAAATTCATACTTTAAGCTTTAAAAGATCTAATTTAAGAAAAAATTCTTTTCGCAAAATAAATACATTTTATTTTAATGATAATAAACATTAACTAGCACACTATTATAATGCTTAGCAATACTTGTTTCTATTGATGCTTTGTGATGTTTCTAATTAGACCTCTAACAATAAACAGAAACACTTTCATCATGTTACAATACTTATCAGCTGTAAACTGCTTAATGTTTTTTAGATCTTTGCTAAAAATTTTTAGCTCTAGAAATCTTGAAATTCTTGATAAATGTTGATTGAGTTCATTGATAGCAGCCTGTTCATATAGTTCTTTTAGCATTTCTCTTGTATATACTACTTAATAATTAAACAGCTCTAAATCTAAATGATGCATTTTATCTGGAACCATAGCTGAGTAAATATTTAGTTTGCTAAAATAAAATAAAAAGCATTAATAAAAATAAATATACACTGGTTAAAAAATTATATTTTAACTAAATAATATTTTATAATTCTGTATAATAACTTAATTACCAGATAATATATATTATTGTATTTACTATAGTAGTAAATACAATAATATATATTACTTGGTAATTAAGTTATTATACAGTATTACAAATTATTATTTAGTTAAAATATTATATATATTGAATAGTATTTAAATGATGCTATTCAATATATTTTAAAATTTGTTAGATTTTTAAATTAAGCCACTTACAGATATTTCCAAAAAATATTTTCTATATTATGCATAGAATTTTGATACACAAGTTCTTGATTTACAATATTTTTCATAGTTTCTGGAGTTCTTAATATAATTTGCCTTTCATTTAACTTAATATTGTTCATCTTCTTAACTAACACTAGGCAATTATAACAAGAATGTTAACAGTTAGCTAAATTATATTTTAGTATCATTGATGAATGCTCTAAAAGATCTCCTATTAGTGTAGATATAAATAGGTAACACCACAGATTTCCATAGTCTATTTTAAGATCAAACTTATTTTCTTTGTAGTCAAGCAATAGTTCTAGTATAATGTCGAAGGCATGAAGAAATACTGATTGTTTAGCAAGCAAAAATTTTTTTGTTTTTTCTGTTATTGTTTTTGACTTTAAAAGTGAGAAGTAGTCTAAGAGGACTTTAGCATCAGGTTTATTACATCACCATCCAGGTATATTTCTTAATATTAAATAGATAGGATGTTTACTTGCTTTACCAAATCAGTTGCATATTGTTGCATCAGAGTAAATTATTATTAATAAAATATTTGCTTCATCTGGAATTGTTTTTTTTGTCCTTTTCTATCACTCCCCATTATATTGTTCAAGATAAATTTTTTCTTCATTATGATATAGCAGTATAAAGTTAAAGATACAATATTTAAATATATCTTTATTGCTCAATAGTTCTTTTATAGCATCAAAAATAAAACAATAGTTTAGATAATATTTTCTTCCTTATAAGTTATAATAGGCACTTTTTTAAATAAAAGATGTAGCACTATCATTTGATCTAAAAACTGATAACCTTGTTTTACTGAGGTAGATAAACTGAATTGTTATTAGATATTTTCTTTGCAAACTTAAGGATTTTATCACCATATGTATCCAATAAGTTCTATTTTATAAGTAACTTCAAATTCCTTGCTGAGAAAATACATTTCTTCATTTATCGAGTTGGTGATATCAAAAGACTCAAAAATTAAAGATGGCATTACGTCAAGTGATGCAAATCCTTCTTATATATATATAAACTGATATTAATCACAAATAAAGTTTATATATCGATATATATATATAAATTGATGTTAATTGCAAATAAAGTTTATTTGTTATGCAGGTGAAGTTATATAAACAATTGATTGTTTAACTTCACTATCTTTATATATTTACCAAAATTTGACCACTTGATTCTTCTATCTCACTTTCTGATTGACCTTTGAGCTGGCTTTCTTGTTGGTCTTCTATCCAGTAATTATAGTTATTTTTGTCACCAAGTTAATTATCTATTCTTGTTTTATTATTGTCTTCAATATCTTCATCATCTTCAACACCTTCGTTGTCTCCAACACCTTCATCGTCTCCAATACCTTTGTCATCTCTAACACCTTTGTTGTCTATTCTTATTTTATCACCTTCAAGTTGTTTATTTTCCATTTCTATTGCTGGCTAGTCTTAATTTTGCTAATATTCTTGTTCTATTTGAATTATCTGCTCTTTTTTTCTTTCTTCAGCTATTTTCTATAGAAGTTTTTCAATAGTATCATTATAAACTTTTATATAGTTTCAAAGTGAAGCTCTGAGAAAATATCCTTTCACACTTTGTACATTGAAACTTCATTATTTTAAAAAAAGATATCTGTATGTAATATTTGTAATGCTTAAAGTTAAATATGATTCTAATCATAATTTTGATTTATTGCATATTATTATGTATCAATTATTATAAAACTGATGTAATCACAGCACTATTTTTGTTGGGCAACAAAAATACTAGTTTAATAGTAAGAAATATTTTAAGAAAGTTACATCCCAATATTTAATGCACAGGTGCAAGTTTTATTGTTTAACAAATCAATTCGTCTGAAAACAATTGCAAATTATAATGACTATTATTAAAGTTGATTGGACTGAAGTTGATGAAAATATGAACTATTATATTGGGAGAAAAAGTAGACGAAAGATATGAATTTTTATTGATTAGGTATAGTTGATATAGATTTACAAATATTAATATAGTTGATCTTTTTTTAGAAAATAAATTTAAATTATTCTATCCAATACAATATGATGAATTTTAATACTATGAATTATAATTCTATTAATATGTAATTGAATAAACATTAATATATATCTTTTTGTATACATTAGTCGTATTTCATATTACTTATTATTCCTGACTTCTGTAATCATTTATATATCTCAGAGCTGATAACAATATTGTTATATTTTTATAGCAAAGATCATTGTAATATAAAGATGGTTCTAAAAACTAATTAATCTAGATGTATTATACTTTGACTAGTAATGAAATATAGTGTCATGAAGTAATTGTCTATAGTAAGCAAAATTTTAAATTATTTACTTAATTTTATACAAGTTTTCAGTTGCACTAATAAATCTCTATTGTAGGATGATGTTATTATCAATTTGATCATTTAATGTGTCAGTTAATATGTCTATTATTACATATTATATAATTCATACAATTCAAATACTAATATTACTATATAAATTTTATATAAATAAAAAAGTTTTTTTTTATAATTTTTATTGCTTAAAACTAGAAATACAATATATAAAAAAAAGGCAAAAAAACCAATTCGGATATCTCCTTGAATTTTAATACTTTGAAATGCTCCAAACAATTAGATGATCAAGGTGTAATATCTAATAAATGCAGAACATCAACTTTATTCAAATCAACACTATCTACATCAGCTTCAAAATCATCTGTAACATCTTCGACTTTGGTAGCTTCACCTGCAAAGGCTTCATCTACATCTGCATTTTCTAAATTAATATCGTCTATATTATCATCACTCACATTAACTTTATTAACAACCATCTTATCATAAAATAAAAAAAGAAATAAAAAGGAAGTAAGTTAGTTTTATTCTTATTATTGCTTATTAAATTATCTAATATAATTTTATATAACCTAGCTTCAAGTTATTGTTTTAAGAGAAGTAAGTTATTTTATTCATATTTTTTTTGTTAATATTCAACCATTTATTAAATTATCCAATAAAATTTTATATAACTTAGCTGCAAGTTATTATCGAATCTTTACTACTTACTACTTCTAAAAAAACTACTGCTACTGAAATTCTAAGTTCATAAAATAATATCTTCTTTTTTTCTATTTTATTTTATTTTATTTTATTTTATTTATTTATTTATTTATTTATTTTTCTAACTTTATATTACTTGAGCCTTCTCTTTCCCCTCCTATAACTAATGATAGTTCAACTTAAATTAGTTTTTAAATAGAAAATTAAGAGATGATTTGCTACACTTAGGTGATTATACAAGATATAATAGATAATTTAAATTAATATCATCTTTTGATACAATCTGTAACTAATCTTATTCTGTATACAGCAAATTCAAAATAAAAAAAAAATAAAAAAAAAAACTTTATATTACTTTATATTTTTATTTAATAGCTCTAGCAATTATCAATCTATGTATTATAAACAAGGTTCTAAATATTGTGCAAACTAGCTCTGCAAAACTTAATCAACTTTCTAAAGAATATACCAAGCTCGTACATTTGATTAGGGAACAACAAGCGCAGCTTGGAGAAGTTTTAAAAAACTTCGAATTTAATATAGTGTGAGCATCCTTAAACCAACAACTTTTTTAAAGTCAGCCAAATTTGAGACAAAATACTAAATTCTGATTGGCTAATAGTTTGAAATTTTATTATGTTTTAAAATTTTTATTAGATTTTTTAAAATTTTGTTATGTTTTTATATATATATAGCCAAATTTTTATTTTATTAATAACTTAAAAAGGTTATGACTTTATTAAATATTAATTAACTAAAAAAATAAACTTTGTAACTGTTTTTTAGGTTTTATTTTATTATTTTACAAAGATATTTAATTTATAACTATTTTAGTTTTTTATTTATAAATTTTTAAAAATTGTGTATTTTATATGTTGGTTTAAAGATACTCGTACTGTAGTAATAATGTAAAAAAAGGCAAAGGAAAAAAGCCTTCAAAAATCTTGTAGATATTTGTTTTCAAGTATATATACACTTTTATTTATACTAATAGTTTGTTTTATTTTATTATTAATTTTTTTTTTAAGTTTTATAACTAGCTTCTTTGGGATTACAGTTTTTATTCAAGTTTATAAGTAAGGGGCTTGCTTATAAAACTCTGGTACATTTATATACAAACCCAGCTTGTATTACTGATACTTCCCTGCCACAATTACCTGTCGTAAGAAGTTTCAGATGCTTTCACAGTACTCTTAGAACTAATTTATTCTTGAGGTATTGTTAGCTAAAGCTTTCTATACCTACAATCTGGCTAATCTAGACTTCAATAACTTATGCTGAGTCTAAGAATAAGTACTTGCGAGCTGAAGCCACTACCATTACCTACTTCTGCTCTTGCAAAGTTCACCCAAACCCCACTACACACTTTACAAACTATCATTGGTACCTAAATTCTGTTAGTAACCTAAACTTCCAATCCAGATAGCCCGAAGGGGCTGTGATCTACTACTAGTCACTATGATTAGATCCTTTTTCTCCGGTTACTCGTTCGGTGGCCTGGTTGGTATAGTGTCTTGCCAAATACCGGTCCTTATCCAGACTACTGAAATCGGTATCCAGATCCTTTAGATAGCCTTTTACATAATATCGTTAAAGATCTGTGCTACCTCTTTACTCAGAACTTGCCAAGTAGACTTCTGTGTGCCCAATACCTAGATTTATATAGCTGTTTCACTCAGGTTTTGTATAATTTATGCATTACACTACAGTTCTATAGCTTCTCAATAACTCCTGATACAACCAAGTTTACAGATCTGCTGATCTATCAGATTACACACAGTCTGCTATAATACATTCTGTAAAATTCGAATTTCATTGCCAGTAGAATTCGAACTCTTGTTCTGCCACTTGGGGATGCAACAACTTAATCACTTCACCAAGTCGCCACACTCACTAATAGTTTGTTTTATATTAATACCACTATACATATTATTTATATATTATGTTATATTATAGAATAAAACTAGAAAATTAGCATATAAATTATTTCATAATAATATGCAAATTAGCGATGACCAAATGAAGAAGCAGTTTAAGGAGATGTTAGAAAGTGATAAAGAATGCACAAAACAATTACAAAATTTAATGATAAGAGTGTTATATTTAATTCATTTTAGAATGCTAAATTTTATTCTGAAGTAGTATTTTTGTCTAATTTTACTTATATGAGTGTCACAAGAGAAAATCTGCAATTTTAAAAATAAATTATTATAAATTTTATAATAATCTATTTTTAAAATTGCAGATTTTCTCTTGCAACACTTACTTAATTCCTAAATATTAATTGTATTTAATTTATTTAATATATATAGATACTTGTAACAATTTAGCTAAAAAAAGATTATTATATTCGATATATGAAAGAAGGACTGTGAAGCACCTTTAGTATTAATTGAGTAAAATCATTTAGCAAAAAGGACATAAAAGAGCAAATGAGAGAATAGAAGAAGAATTCTAAGCAGATGTATAAAGACTTATATAATCCTAGTGATCCGAATAATCCAAATTCTGAAACATTTCTTTCATTAATTATAAAGTATGTTTTTGTATCTGATGAAGAATGTACTCAAGCTAATGCCATTTGGACACAAGCAGTTTTTGAAACTATTTTTGATGAGGAATATTTTTTACTAAAGATTGATGTGAATTTCATTGATATATGAATTCAAAAGCTAAACATTAAGGATAATAAGAATGTATATATATTGTTTATTAATGATTTTACTAATTTATTTGAACTAGAGATGCAGATGTAACTTCATAACTTGTTATAATTATAGTGAATTACTGTATTTTTTCTGTAACTTATTATAGTTATGACAAGTTACGGAGTTACACCTGCATCTCTAATTAGAACATATATTTTTTTTTCAAATACTGTTTTATAAAAAGGCTTTGCAAGTTCTTTCACAAGTTTTCTCGCAATATTAGAAACAGCGATTCAAGAAAACTATGATGAATTATCTAATAGTGACGATAATGAAAATTATTATAGTAGTAATAGCAATTATAAGAAATATTAAATCATAAGAATAATTTAAGTAATTTAATTAGCAATATGTTAAGTAATAGATTAGTACTTAATAATTATTGCATATATTTTATATATTAATTATAGACTTTGCTATATATTGCTTAATGTATTAAAAAAATATATTTTATAATAAATATATATTGTTTAATATAATATTATATATTTTTAAAGGGGAGAATATCTGACAGTACTAAGTTGATCAAAGGGTTTAATTGAGTAACTCAAGTAATAGTGAGTTACAGGTATGACATCTAATGTAGTTCATATGGATTACATATGCAAGACTGATTAAATAAACAACCAAAAGTTGTATATATGGCTAGAATGTATTCTTGTTAATATAACAAAGTCAAGGGTAGCCCATATGATTGTTCTAATATTCGATCCAAAGTTTAATAAAACATGCCAGACCCCAAAGTGGTTACCTTAATATTAAAAAAAAATATATATATATATTTTTTTTTAAATAATATTAGTTAATAAAATATACAATAATACATATTTTTAAATAGTTGTTTGGAGCATAGCGACAGACACTCAATTTCTACGTATTAAGTGATACAAAAGTTACGTTTTTGATGTGTTTCAACTATCAAACGTTTCTTTTTGATACATTAACGTAATTATTATAATAAATATATCAATAACGTAACTTCAAAATTTTTTGTCTGTTCTGCTATGTGACACATAATTACAAACCTATTTTGAAAACAACCATTGATTACTGATACAGTCAGGGATATTACCAAATACGATAATGCTCCAGACTTATATTGGTTCCTGATTTCTAGTATTAGTTAATAAAATGCATTGTTTAATGCATTGTAAAATTGTTTTTCAATGCTGTTAATCTATATAAAGTTCATTGTTCTACTGTTTGTAGTGTTAAATAACAATTAATATTAGTTAACACTTTTTAATACCTTTCAAAACTTTCTGATATAAATATAATAATCTATATATTATAATGAATAAATATTATAATCTATATTTTGTATAATTAGTATCAATTTTTTATAATATAAATATCCTTTAAGCTATTAATTTTAGTAGGCAAATTGGCTGCTAAAATTTTTAAAAAATTTATAAAATTTGATTCTAATTTATTTATTAAAATTAAGTTATTTAAAAAAATTTTTTTTTTTTTTTGTAGTCAAGGTTAACCTCTTTGGCTTCCCGCTTTTATTAGATTATAGAATCATGTAGTGCCTTTTTTAAGAGGGTCTCAGACAAGTACATTCTGATAAGAGTACATTCTAGTCATATTTGCACCTTTTGAGTGCCTAATTAAGTATCTACCTATTACTAGGTTCTACATTAGATGCTGTATCTATAATCCACTATTATTTGAGTTATCTAATTAAATCCTCTAATCTGAGTTTTCTTACCAATTCAACTAATCTTATCTGGAACATGTGATATATAAGTCAGTTCAAGTTCCAAGATTATTGTGTATCCACCTATAGGACTACTGGCATGGTTAACTGATTTATCTTCAAGTGCATTATCTGCTAAAGCAGTCCAGTACCTACTATTACCATATTACCTAGTCTTTTTCGATAACTTACACTGAGTTCGAGAACAAGTACTTGCGAGTCGAGGCTGCTAAAGTTATCTACTACTGTCTTTATAGAGTTTGTCTAAACTTCAGCAACTACTATACAGACTATCTGCTATATACCTATTATCTCAAACTTCCAATCCAGATAGCCTGGAAGGGCTGTGACCTGCTCCTGATTC